TTTGCTCTTCTCCAGCCTTTCTCCAGACTCTGGCGCCTTGACTTCCAAATGAAATACAAAACTTGCTTTCGTCTGAAAAGAGGACTTTGGACCACTGTGCAACTGTCCAGTGCTTCTTTTCCTTAGCCCAAGTCAGACGCCTCTTCCGTTGTCTTGAGTTCAGAAGTGGCTTGACCATGGGAATACGGCTATTGTAGCCCATTTCCCGGACACGTCTGTGAACAGTGACTTTTGATACCTGGACTCCAGCTTCAGTCCACTGTCTTTGAAGCTCCCCCAAATTCTGGAAGCGACTCTTCTTCACAATGCTGTTAAGGCTGCGGTCATCTCTCTTGGTTGTGCAGCGTTTCCTGCCACATTTCCCCCTTCCAACAGACTTTTTGTGGATGTGCTTTGAAACTGCACTCTGTGAACAGCTTGCTCTTTGAGAAATTTCTTTTTGTGTCTTACCCTCCTGATGGAGGGTGTCAATGACGGTCCTCTGGACAGCAGTCAGATCAGCAGTCTTCCCCATACTTGTGATTTAGTTTACTGAACCAAGCTGAGTGTTTTTCAAGGCTCAGGAAACCCTTGCAGGTGTTTCGAGTTAATTAGACGATTCAAGTGATTCGTTGAACACCCTACTAGTATACTTTTTCATGATATTCTAATATTTAGAGATAGGATATTTGAGTTTTCTTAAGCTGTATGCCATAATCAGCAATATTAAAATAATAAAAGGCTTGCAATATTTCAGTTGATTTGTAATGAATCCAGAATGTATGACATTTTTGTTTTTTTAATTGCATTACAGAAAATAAAGAACTTTATCACAATATTCTAATTTTCTGAGACAGTCCTGTATTTTAAAGACTTTGAGTTTCTCCTGGTTTTACTTTGGGAGGGGGAAACCAGCACGATAACCCACCCACCCCTGGCTAATGGTTACACAAGCTAAAAAAACATTGTGAGTAGGCCTGTCACCATAATTCTTTTTGTTGGACGATACATTTTCCCGGAAATTATTGCAATAAACGATAATATTTCAGACAGAACTTTCATTGAACATTCAACATTGCAAATTAAATGTGAAATACAATTTAAATATATAAATTATATATAACAAATAAATAAAATTATAAAAAATTAAATAAATCACACCCAAACAAAACAATACATTAAATAGACTCGGGCTGGAAAACAGCGCTTTCTTGTGGCCAAAACACGCAATTGCACCTGTGCAGTAGTACAAAAATATATAAAATTTATATAAATAAATATGAGCAAGCAAAAAACCTCCTTAAAACAACAGCCAAGTGTACAGTTCTACAGCCATTTTGTGCTATCGTGTTTGCTTTTGTAAATGCCTCTTTGATGGCAAACTGTAGGGAAGGTGGGGGCTCTCCATCTCCAGCTGCCGTGTTTGCTCCCAGCTGGGAAACACAACGGGGTGGTTGTGTTTCAGGTGCAGTTTAAGGTTGGTCGTATTGCTAGCTTTTGTTGCTACCTTTTTTTAAACAAATGCGACACACCGCCCTGCTCCTTCAAGTCCGTAGGTTCGCCTCGTTGATTTGGCTTGAATCCAAAATATTCCCACACCGGAGAATCGAGATGTGTAGTCAGGTTTTTGCAACCAATTCCATTTACCTTCAAATTCCCCTCGAGTAAGTCACACGTTGTCTCCTGCTTGTCCCTATATTATTCATTTGGCTGCTGCACGCGGAGTGTCCTGACCCCTCACAGCGCGCCGGGCTGTGTGTGAGCCCCGCCCCTCACAGCGCGCCGGGCTGTGTGTGAGCCCCGCCCCTCACAGCGCGCCGGGCTGTGTGTGAGCATGCGCCGGGCTGTGTGTGAGCATGCGCCGGGCTGTGTGTGAGCCCCGCCCCTCACAATGCGCCGGGCTGTGTGTGAGCCCCGCCCCTCACAGTGCGCCGGCCTGTGTGTGAGCGTGTGCCGGGCTGTGTTTGAGCCCCGCCCCTCAGTGAGCCGGGCTGTGTGTGAGCCCCGCCCCTCATAGTGCGCCGGGCTCAAATGCTGGTCACATCCTTATGTAAACAAACACGCAGATGTTTTATAAAGACGGATCAGGACAAAAATAGTTATTTGTTCCTGTTTCAGAATCTCTTTACACAGAAGGGACACATGTTGCATAATAGGTGACCTTTAATACTGAATTGGAGCTTGAAAAACAACTTCAGTCAATTGTGTATATATAGGATATACATATTTCCGTATTCGGGATTGTGGGAACTGGTATTTCGATCTCTCTGTCTGTACACACAAACTGAAAGATTGACAATAAAGTTGACTTTGATTTGACTTGAAATATGTTCCTTGTGTTTCCAGCCAAGCGTCCGACCCCCGGCTCCATCCCGCCCGCTCAGAGGATCACGAAACCAGCCTGTAAATACGGAGTGCCTTTAACCGTGAGGAAGGACGCCGCCAAGAGACCTGCAGACAGGAAACCGGCCGTGAGACACAGACCTGTGAGTTCACTGTCATTCTTGTTCTCTCTCGAAAAACTGTTCGATATTGAGCTCATACGTCAGAGGAAGCCACGTGTGTGTGTGTGTGTGTGTTTGTGTGTGTGTGTTTTGCCATTAGTGTGTGTGCAGACTCTGATCCCCCCCTGTTATGTGTTGCTTAGGCCCCTCCCCCATCAGCCCCCCCCAGGAGAGTGAGTCATGTGGAGGAAGAGAGGAAGAAACATGAGGTACAGCTGAGACCCTCATCATTTTATGTAAAGCGTCTTTGAGCTCAAGGAAAAGCACTTTAGAAATCAAAAAAGTATTATAACGCCCTCCCTTTCATGACGCCTGATCTCTACCTCCATGTTCTCTATGTCCTCCATGTTCTCTATCTTCTCCGTGTTCTCTATCTTTCCCCTCGTGTTCCCTATGTGCTCCATGTTCTCACACAGGCTCCGCCCTCTACTGGACTCCATGGGTACTACTCTCATCAATGATACGCGAGCGTTCACACACTGAAGTTGTATAAACGTAGCCGGCCAATCAGGGCGAGCCTACCTGAATGCGCGCGCAGGCTCACAGTATGTAAGGCGGCTACGCCTCCCGACTGTCATCCTTTTCTCTTCAGCGAGCAAGACAACACCTGACAGAGGAACATTTTCGAAAAAAGCTAAAGAAGAAGCATCTCCCCTCCATGGAGTCGCCACCTCAGGAGACCCGTGCCTGTCCTTCGTGCCCTGGCTTAATAGCGGGTGCGGATCCCCATCATCTCTGCTTCCAGTGTCTGGGGCCTGACACGCACCGGTGGGACTATTTCAGGACCCACTACGCCTCACCGCGTGGCGATGACACCGAGGCTGAGCTTAAGGTGGTGGAGATGGGGGACCAGGATGTCGCCTTTTATGTTCGCCAATCCTGCAGTGCGAGGGGCTCCGTTTGCCAGGGAGGAAGATGGCGAGGACTTCTCGTTGTCGGGCACTTCTGGGTCCGGGGCCCATGGAAGTCCACCGCCCAGGTCTGTCCGCCAGGATTTCCCCCTGGTGATGACCATGGCGGTGGAGCGTGTAGGGCTACCGCTCCCCCCACCACTGCCGCCGAAGCC